TTCTCTGCAATTCCAGACACAAAAAGCTAGCAGAAATTCCTTCTCTCAAGAGCCATTAGTAGCGCTTTTCTGGCTGCCAAAAAGCATGTGTCTTTTAAGAAGGCACCATGGGACCAGGGATGTGCTGTAGTGATGATACAGTCAGCAACTATCCAAATTTCAAGCCTTTCAGACCTGGAAAGAAGGGGAATACCTGTCTGACCTCTGAGGGGTTGCCTTGTTGCAAGCACAAGATGGTGATACCTAAATGACTTAAGGGAGAGGTACTGAATGGGGAGCTGGTATTGTTTGCTGATCAGGGTGTCAATTACTACTGATAAAAGTACTGGTTTACTAATAGGAAAGTTTAACTCCTGAGCAAGTACATGCCTACCCAAAGGTCTGATCTGCAAGATGAAGATTATGCAATTGGAAAATCTAAATTCTCCATTCCATCTTTGGGGGCCATTAGAAATGTATAAACCCAGCTACCACCCTTGTCATTTGAGAACACCCTGCACGAACAAGGCAGGGGTTCCAGCCCTAGAGTGTTGCTATTATTCAGAAAATAGTGGTGGGTTAAGACATTTGCATCAAACTTTTGTCTCCCTCTTATGCTATTTTCCTAACTTTATATTCTTTCACCCCCCTTTCTTTTCCATCTCCTTTTTTTTTTTTTTTTTGCTATAATTTCCTGTTCAGCTCCTCCTGAAAAAGCGAAGTACCAGTGTGCAGTCGCTGCAGAATGCTGCCTGACATGCTGTTTGAATGGCTGGATCTTGGAGCAGGAACTATCTGCTATTCTGCAGACATACAGCACCCAGTAAAAAGCAGACCTATTCTTCAACAGCTTGAAGCTGAAACTCTCAATAGTGTCATCAGGAGCTACTGTGTCATATCACCCAAGTTGTGCAGGGAATACTCCTCATCTTTAGGCTATTACTGTTAATGTCTTCTTTACTGAATCTTCTGTGTCAAAGGTGTCCCAGTTGATCTTTGCACAATTTCTTGAACTGTATGTCAGGACTCTCAATTTCAGGACACTGAAATGAATGCTCCCTTCTCCATAGTTCATATTTGAAAAAGCCATAGGAATTATTTTTCTAAGGAGCAGTGAGAAGGGAGTCAACCATTTCAATATGCTATTTTACATCATCTGAAGATGACACTATGACATCAGACTTGCCCTTACTGGACAACTAAGGTCCTCATCCCATCTCCAGTAATTTCTGTATTTTCTTCACAAACTTAGTGTAAGTCCTAAAACCCCTTCTTTTTTAATGCATACACAGCTATCAACAACTGAATTCTTCAAAAACAGAGTAAATAGGAGTTCTCTCCTTGTAGGAGAGAACTTTTTTTTCAAAGCCAGAAACTGGAGCAGATCTAAGCTAGTTCTCCTCATTCCAATCACAAACCGGTACTAATGATAAAAGGTAGGTATAAATAGAAAAGAGATCTCTCAAATTCTCCATCATATCTTTCTCTGTCCCAAAGATGATTCAACCTCCTTTCCAAGGTTCTGTTAAGCATAGGTATAAAATGTAGTATACAAATTTCAGAATTGTCCCTTTTGGTTGAAGATTACTTTTTTTTCCTTTATACTCACATTGCATCCCCCAGAACATTAATATACATTGCCATCTCAAATACCTACTATTGTCATTGGTAAAAAAATTGATTAAAAAATTACTTTTTAAGACTCACTTTTAAAGAAACATTGCAGAGCTGAATGTTTTTAACTGAGAACTCTGATTTTAAAAACTGAATTCAACTTCCTTAATTGTCCATTACAGCATGAAGACTTCCACAGAAAAGCCATTTTTAAAAGCAGTATTTGAAGGGGAGATTTTCAAGTGTCTCTTGTATTTCTCACTCACCACCACTGGAAATGGCCGGCAAGGAGATCATGGGAACTCCCCTTAGTTACTCAACAGTTCGCAAACCAGTTTTTCTCTTAGCTGGACTGAGTCCAATAGACACAGTAAAGTCACAAGAGTGACACACATAAAAGCAGGAAAGCAGTTTTATTACTCGTTGTGCCCAGGTTGTTGGCCAACAATTTCCGAGAGCAGCCCACTCTGCCAGAGCGCAGGCACAGCTGCCTTAGCCCTGAGAGCCGAGTCTTTAGAGACCAAGGGCTGAAAGCCAGAACACCCAGTGTGCATTGCCTACAGCGGGGCCACCAGCTGCACTCCTGCATTACTGCTCATCTACCTTCTAAGCTATAGTATCACCCAAATAATAAGACTGATCTTATTAGCAGGCCCTTAATCCTCACTAACCTTCTCCTTTAGCCATTAGCTATCATTAATTTATTAAACATTATGCTAACAGGCTGCAAATTCACCAGCTACTACTATTACTCATCCAGCCATGTATTTCCCCCATCAAAACTCCATAGCTACAAGTGATTGACTATGAGAAGCTTTTTCAGGATGGCTCACCTACAACCTTGAGGTAGTGTTAGTCCTGCCCGGTGATTCCTAACACTACCAGGGTGAGTTAGAGACCTACTCTAAAACCAGGCTGTGGCATGCAACTGTTGATTCTCTTTCACTGGAAGGATCACCAGATGAAGGTAGGGTTGGACACAACAGTAAGGAAGATAGCAGGAACACTTCCGGGAATCATTTAGCTAGCTGGGAATCATTGGCACAAACCTCTTGAGGTCACCTAGCCCAACTCCCTGCCTAAAGCAGGATCTGCTGGAGACATTTGCCCAGCACGTATTTAGCTGGGTTTTGAATCTGCAGACTCCACATCTGTGTTTTATCACTTACTGTAAAAGTGTTTTGTCCTGTTCAAAGAGAGTACTTTCAAATCTATGCCCATCTCCCCTTGCCAGTGGTGCTACTAAGATTAATGTGGCTGTCTTCATTCCCTCCTATCAAGGATCAGTAGGATATCCCACATGGCCTACACAGGGAGAAGTCTTCAGGCCCAAGATCTCCCACCTCAATGTCTAATTTGGACTAAAACACCACCAGCTGTTTTACTGCACTGTTGTGCCACAAAGGCTTTTGTTTTAGCTAGAACAGAACATGAGAACCTCCACAATAGTTGACAGGATGATGGATTGCCTCTTGTAAAGCTATCAGAAGTTGAACTTGAAATGTCAGAGTGTTCCTACACACACACACACATCCAGAAAACTGCCTAGAGTGACACAAGGCCTGTTTCACAATTGCAAAAGCACCTGCAAGTGCACCTCAGCCAAAAGGTTTGTGACCATTAGCTTCCACCACACTTGACTTACTCTGTCTCAGAAGACTTTCTTCCATTAGCAGAAAACACTGAAATCTACCACTCCCATCCCACAGTTAAAGAATTAAGTAAACAGCGCTGTAAGACTTCAATTACTGACCTAGAAATCAGGCATTTCATTTACATAACAGCAACACGGACACTCACCCTAAACAAAACCAGAAGCTTTGACTCCTGAGACTAGAACACCCCAAGCAGGGAAAAACTTGAAGTGACTCTAAATAAAAGTGGCCTTCTCACACATTCATCTTACCAAAGGCAATTCTCTTGGCTAAGGCAGTCTTTCATCATCCTCGTGGGTCCCTTCTAACTCAGAATGTTGGGATACTGTGATATCCCATTGGAGATCTTCCCCTTTTCACCTTAGATGTTTCCACGTGCATGCTGAGCTGTAGCAGAAGACTGAATGCGTTGTGTGCTTCCCAACCTACTGAAAATCAAGGCACCAGATTGGCTAAACCAAAAATTCTTGTCAGACCCCTGTTTGCATTACTTACCTACAAAAATGAGACATCCAATACTCCAGCAATTCAGAATTTCAAGTGGTTGTTCTGATGCTTCTGGAAAATTCTCCTCAACCTGTGCCATCCTAAGTATGTTTTGCACCAAGCTCTTAGAAGCACAGGATGAAAACTGGGTAGGAAGTGTCAGTTTGATCACTTATTTTCCAGAAGGCAAATCCTAACTGCTAAAAACTTTAGACTGCATGAGTTTCCTGAATGAGACTGCCAGCACACAAACAGCAGTTCTAAGGAATTCTGATGCTGGCTACTGAAACAGTTTTGACAAGCCAGAAAAACGATAGAGCTGTTCATAGTCCTCAGAGAGCAGAGCTTTAAGATCAGTGACCATAAACACTTGATTAAGCGCTCCTGAATTTGGATTGAACAGCTGTCCTAATTTTAGATGCTCACTGCATTTACAAATACATCAAAGATGATCAGAACAGTTTTAAAACATTAGGTAACTGCTCAGCTGGGACCACTGAGTGGTACCCAGAGGCAGGGGCCAATGCCTTGTTTAAAGGCCAGCAGAATCCCCAAACAAGATAATCATACAGCATATGTACAGTCAAGGCAGTTGTTGCCAGGACAGTAGAGAAGGAATGGGCATGAGCAGCCTCTGGCTTTGAGTTCTTGGATTCATCCTTGGTAGAAACCAGGGACATGTCTTCCACTTTAAAAAAAAATTAAACCTTGACAGAAAACTAGTGCTAGAAGCACAGTATGCTCAATAACAAATGAGGAAGAGAATGTTTTTCTTTTTTACTTTGAGCTGACTGCATTCTGAATGGCAACTCAGACACGGCAGTTTCAGAAAAGCCCAAGTGTGAGACTAAGTTACCCCAATGTAGCAACTGACAGGGAATAAACTCCAAAATAATTAAAAGAAAGCAAACAGGTTTAGTTGTCCGAACAAGGAATTTTAATTTTAGGTCAACTATTGAACTAGGTCAACATCCAGTTCACAATGTCTACAGATAGTGGGCATAGCCAGTCACTACGGTAAGTTTATTGAAGCACCAAGCTCCACACAAGACTGTAAAATACATTTTAAACTACTAGTAAGAAAGCTTCTTCAAGTCAACAATACTATTAAGGGCCAGAGTTTAAGGACTAAGTTTTCACCTTCCAAGCTATTTTAAGACAGCCAATCCATTGCATAAGCAAACCAAACTGCTACATACTGAAACACAGAGCAGCAACTGCATTGAACAATTCCTGTAAATAATTCAAGGATACATTGAAACAGTATGGGTAAATTGTAATTTTTTATTGGAAAACAAATATACAACTTGGAATGGATTTGAGGCAAATCGTGCCATAAGCAGATTTTTTTGAAAATAAGTGGCTAAACAAAGTTTAAAAAGCATAGTAACAAGAGGAGAAAATGTTTTCTGGCACAGGACCAGCAGTACAAAAAAAAACTTGTGTACGAGTACCTGGATAAATCACCCGTTTTGCATTAGTGCAACTTAAGTTTCATATTGTTGACTGTCAATCGTCTACAACGTTAAGACTCCACATTTCAACAACATGTTACAGGTATGGCCACAGACAAGTTACTGTGAAGTAAGCTAGGAGAATGACTTTTACAGTGCATTAGCCACATAATATATGCTATTCACATCATTTTATCCTGCAGTTAAGCTGCAAGAGTCATTATCCTCCCATCACAGAAAGTGGTAAAAACTCCTATAGGAAAAACTCCTATGTACTCAAGAAGTAGAACCAGCATGGTGCTTTAACTAAGGATCAGCTAATGCATGGTAAACCCTAGCTTACTTTATGTAACTTGTCACACTAGTCATACCTAAGTTTCCTAGAGAAAGCTACTTTTTTAATAGACAATCCAGATGTTCCCTCAGTTAACCAACTTCATCTAACTTCAGATGTGCAGAAGGGCTTAAATATCCAGAGTAAGCCACATGCAACATTTGTTACTTAGATCAATTTTCCAAAAATCAGAACAATGACAGTAAGATAAAGGAGAAAAACATGGAGGAATGGCCTTCTAATTACTATACATGCATAATCTTTTGACAGTAAGGGAAAAACCTTTTACAGATAAGTTACAAACAGAGAAAAGGCAAATAAACAATTTTGTACAAGAAATTTAACACATTCTGTACAACGTCTTCACTTCGCTGTCATCATTTGTACAAACTCTGTAAAAGGAAAGAGTTGCATAAGTTATTTGAAGAAAAAAAATCTGAATTGCAAGATCTGAGAAGTGACCTTACTAGTGCTGAACATTGTTTCAAAATCGCATTTTCAGTTACATTCAAAAAAACATCTTCAGGACAGTCCTCTTTTCAGTAATCACACCTAAACTCCTCCTGTTTTTAATGGCAAAAGGCCTTTATTTTTCCATAAAAGTTGGTCCCTCAGTGAACTGGGGAACAGCCCTACTTCCAAGATAAAACATTACAGGGTCCTATGCCCACAGACTTACAGATGGGGACAAGACATCAAAGAATGACTAAAAGATCACTACAAATTGCACTGAAGTGACAATCAACTAAGTAAGTGTAGAGGCAGACTTGGTGTTGGTTTGAACTTTTATTTTCCAGAGTAGAATAGTTAAGTCTTACTATTTTATTTTCCCTGGCTGGCTTTAAGCAACTGATTCAATGCTTAGTCATAAACCATTTAAAGTTAGAACCCATAAAATAGGATTCTTCATTCATCTTGCTCAAACATAGTTTCAGGTACAATAATGACAGGAAACCCAGAACCTAAAAGGAGTTAACTGGTTGCTCAAGTTTTGAAAGAGCAACTGGCAACAACAGGGACACAGACCCTCTCTAGTGCCATTCTCTGAACAGCCTACTCAAACACAGTGACGAAGCAGCAGCTTTGCACATAAAAATTACTTTTCACTCACAGATGTCCACATACCCTTAGGCCACAATGAAAACGGCCTCAAAGGGAAGGCATACCTACACCTCAGAAACAGCACAGATTATCTGAAAATACCCTAGATATTTTCTGTAACAAGTTCCAAAAGTCAAAATGAAAACAAGCTTAGTGTGTCTCAGCTGCAAACAACTGTCTAAAGGAACTCCTGCTTGCATGACTTAATTTATGGTTCAATGTCAGGAAGAAAGAAATAGGAAGAAATTACTGTTGCAGCTGATTTACATGAAATAAATGTATTTAAAGTATCTTCTGAAGGTCTTGAAATTTCTGCATATTTTAGTCTTTCCCCTTTTGATTAGCAAGTAATTTTAAAAGCATTAATGACAAATGGGTGACATCCTACAGTCAAATCAACATGCATTAGTTAACAAAACAGTACGAACAGTACACAAACATCTCCAGACAACTTGCTTATTCTAATGGTCATTAGACATCATTAGATCTACGAAGTCAATTCTTACACTGTACAGCTGAATAGTTCTTTTCTGCCTTTGGCACAAAGGCAGCAATAACATTCAAACCCACTGAGAGGTACACAATGTGCATATTAATTGAACATTAGCTTAAAGGAACATTGTGTGTTCAGATGAACTTGTCTGAACACTGCCCCATTGAAACTTGGTGTGGCTATCAGCACCCGCACAAGCACGAGAAGCGCTACACAAAAAGAATCAATTATCAACTCCTTACCTTCATAGTTTACTTGACCATCACCATCAATGTCTGCTTCCCTAATCATTTCATCGACTTCTTCATCTGTTAGCTTCTCCCCCAGATTTGTCATCACATGACGGAGTTCTGCAGCACTAATGTAACCATTACCATCCTGGGAGGAGAAAAAGGAACACTGGAATAGACTTGCCTAGGGCCCAATGACTTAACTATAATTTAGGAACACTGCAGAGCAAATTGAACATTAAGATGTTAACACAGCCTTAACCACCAGCATTTGCACAAGGTACACGAGAGCTGTAAGCGTATCTTCATCAGCACTGCCCAATGTCTGTGGGCATTGTAACATCATCTTATAATCTGTCCTATTCTGACACATTTTTAAACCACGAACAATGCAATCAGCACCTTTTGCAACTTTTTAGGTGATGGATGCCTATTAAATCACGTGACTTGGTTTCAGTGGTGATTTCTTAGAACAGAAGCTATTTATCTGATTTGCCTGTTTCATGGGAGTCCAGCATAAAGCCACAAGGACTTCAGAGATGACTTTTACATATTCCAGTACTAGTTGGGACACTGAATTTTGAAGTACTAGTGTACACTAACTCAACTGATGTTCTCCTCCCCACACCAAGGCACCTCACATCACGTTTTCAGTTCCGAGGTGCATCTTAAGTAAGCTGAGTAACTTCAAACTATTTTAGCAATTCACTTAGCAAAGACTACATGAAAGACTTACAACATTAATATTATAAATATTTTTTAAAATTTCCTGCCAGTCATCTGGAATTATTTCAGTATCACAGCAAGCAGTGCTTTAAATCGTGTCACTTATTACTAGCCTGACAACTTATCTGACTTTCCCATACCACCACAGCAGATTGAGCTTTAGGGCGATTGGCCAACCTAGAGGCTCTCTGTGACAGGACTGCAGATACCCCTCAGATCTGTGAGAAAGCACGTTACAATCAGAGCGAGTTTTCTTCACAGAACTATTCCAGGCAGACATTACAGTACCTTGTCAAAGACACGGAACGCTTCTCTAATTTCTTCTTCGCTATCTGTATCTTTCATTTTTCTTGCCATCATTGTCAGAAACTCTGGAAAGTCAATTGTGCCATTGCCTGAAAGGTTGAAAAGCCTTTGTTAGAAAAACATGGTTTAGGCACTTGAATAAATTACTTATTAGTAAATTTCTTACCATCAGCATCTACTTCATTGATCATATCCTGTAGCTCTGCTTCTGTGGGGTTTTGACCAAGTGATCTCATCACTGTCCCCAACTCCTTTGTAGTTATAGTACCATCACCATCCTTGTCAAATAGTGAAAAAGCTTCTTTGAATTCTGTACAAAACAAAAAAAAAAGGTTAATCTCTTAAGCTTTGAAGTGTTAACAATCAAAAAATTCACTGCTACTGATTGTTGCAAATTACAAAATTTTATTTCTATCTTTTAAGAAAATTTTGGTATACTGCTCAGTCTGCTGTAATTGCAAAGGCAACATGGCAGCAGCAGCATCTGAAAACACATCCACCAGTCTACTAATGAACCACATGTTGACCTAAATTAGGACGGAAGGTCATCTATTTCCAAAAGACTCAGATGTTTATTACTGTCTATCTTGAATAAGGGTTCCTAATATGGAGCTAAAATAGCTGTCTGCAACTACAATGATCTACATCCTTGGTAGGAATTCCATCTCAAAATAAAGCAATATGGAATTGCTATGAGCAAATTGAAAACGGTGCTTTAGAAGTACATATGCTACAGCTTAATAGCACTTTTATTACTAATAGAGGAGATGAGTCAACGGAAAAAGGTATTATCAGACCAAACTACACCCAAGTTCCTCAATATAAGCCACTTCCGCTGGACACAGATGCCTGAACATTGTATGCTACCACAATTGTTCAAGGAGGAAAGCCACTGGAGTCTTCATTCCTGAAAAGCTGCTTACAAAACTGTTTCAGCCCTACTGTATCCTGAAACAGCCTTGACAGAAGTGTTTCTGACTAGTCCTAAGACTGCTTTGCTGTGTTTCAACACTACCTCTTAACCCCCTACAATGGCTGTATTGTAGCCAGGAATATTAATACAAGCGTAACATGCTTAATTGTCCAGTCCAAAAATGGAGTTGGTTTTAATCCATGCCATCTGTCTTTGGCCACAGACCTTAAACTAGCTCACTGGACTGTGGAAGCTCACACACACATGACAGTTAAGCTTGAGCATCTTGTCTATTCCCCTGCAGACTTCAGATCCCTTTACAGCTTTCAAGCCATCTCAGAAATCATGGCTCTGGACAACCTGTCAGCTCAAGGGTACTCCTGCATTAGAAATATTTCCAATAACTGATTTTTTCAACATTTCCATGCAGCCAGCTTTCCAGATGGTGGGTTTCCCAGACCAGAATTAGTCACAGTAAAAGCTGTGTTTTCACATGACCTGAATGAAGCCTTTACTTCATACTCTGAAACTCCTGAGGTGAGTACAAGCTGGAAAGTGTTAAAAATTCAACTATAAAAATAGGTTGTTTATAGTTCATAAATGCAGCTACAACACCAGAGTCACAGTCAAATCCCACAGAGGAAAAAAACTCACTACTCTTCTACATTTATGTCTGAAGTGTTCCAAGAGCCAACCCCGTCAGAATCAGAGCAAGGCTACCATAGGACCAGTAGAAACAGTTTCAAGCCAGTATGTATAAATCACAAAGCAGAAACAAGTAGATACAACCTGCACATAAAAAGACCTTCCAAATGGTCTTTGGGGGGCTAGTTTCAGTTATCTTGGAGGCAACAAACAGGTTTCTTAGGGCTAAGCTCCTACGCTAGGGAAGAAAATGTTTTTGGGTCAGTCCTAGTAGACATATTCACAGCCCATCATGGCAGAACTTCAAAACGGGGAAGTTGCATCCTCATGAAGAGTCAGTCAAGTGCTCAAGTGTTATTCAAAACATTGAGCTGTTAACCACTTCATCCTTCATGTGAAAGTGAACCATCAGTAACCCAAGTGTAAAGCAGACCTCACAGTACTGCAGTGACCCTGCTTAGACAGGGCAGTACTTAATTCATATATTAAACTCAAAGACTTGCTTTCTGCAAGATGGGCATTTTAATGGTGTATTCTCAACACTTGGAAGGAACCATTCCAAGGACAATTCTACCCTTCTTTCACTCAAAGTTGCAACAGGTTAAGAAGCAACCAGCGATAAATCATAAAGAAAATAAAGCAAGTTGAACATTAGCAGCATATTCCTGCTTGAAATGCTGAATCAAGTTAAGAATAACACTAAAATACCTCTCTAACCACTTCTAGGAACCACCTCCAGTAATCAGAACAAAGGAGTGACAACATACACAGATGCAGCTAGAGTAGAACAAGAACAACCTACTGCAGCTTTGGAGGATTTGCAGCCATGGCCAGTGAAGGCACGACGAAATACTGAAGTTTAGTGAGCAGCTCAATTCTGGCATCCCGCAACATAAGGTTATAAAACATACCTTGCACACTTAAACACCTTGATTCCATACAGCATGTAAAGCAAATCCTCTTTATTCCACATTTCTCCACACCAAACTGCAAATGAAAATTCTCTGCTGAGGCTACAAGGTTTCAGCCTTTCCACCCTTCTAAAAAACAGCCTGCATCCCGAGAAAAAGACTACTTCGAGGCCCCGTGAAAGACATGCTACTCCAACAATGTGAACTCTAATGACCCAGCTCTGAATGTTTTTTACCCATAGCTTCTGAGGCATCTGTGCACCACATCACCTTTTCAAATCAAGTGGCAGCCTTCAGTGACCTAATATGTTCAGTGAACCAGGACTACCATATCCACTGCTACACAATTTAGCCAGCTGTGTCTGGAACTTTTATAGGAGAACGTCAATTGTTCTCTTCACAGCTACCAGGACCTCAACACTTAAACATGTCTATTTCTACTACAACAAATTTTAAATTACTGTTGTGGCCAAATCCCCAAGAGAGAACCACAGCACACTAAAGGAACAAGACAGTGAACACCATACATAGGCCTGCTTGTACAGACAGCCCATTTAGAACTCTTGAAGCCAAGGGGAAGGATAGCTCACTTGACCAGTTGGCTTTGGGACAAAAGCATCTTCAGGCTACTCTGCCATCTGACCACCCAGGTAGTCCTGACCCCACTACCTCTGTAATACAACACTTAACCAAAGGGAGAGCCACTTGACTTAGCAACTTCAGTTCTTACTGAATGAAACTGCAGTCGGTATTACCATTCTGTAGCTACTTGGTTTTCAGTATCAGTCTTGCATATAAACAAAATCTGGAAAGGTTTTCACCCCTACCTCCACTAACAAGAAGCTTCAGTCCTGTATGACCAACACGTTCCACAGGAAATGCCATCTGGGACCTTTAACAACTGTACTGTGATGCTTCACAGCAGAGGGGAAAGGATTTAAGCCCTGGACAAGTGGCAGCTTTAAGCACTCCTGTCTTCATGGCAACGTAATATTGCCTCTACCTTGCAGTACCATTTCCTATGTCCGCCTTCAAACCAAACGCTAAGCATCTCCTGGGAAGCTCCATTAGAATGGCGGGGACTCAAGTTTTTCTAGCCAGTCTCTGTAAAACATTTAAACTGTACCTCTAAGAGTCTTCCCATGCAAGACCACTGGCCTCCAACAGCAAAACTAAGCAGATGCAACTTTTCCTAAGCAGTACTGAGAATGATTCTTTCACACACCAGTGGGCTTATGTTTACACATCCGAGGTTCACGGTTTACTTGCAAATACATTTGCTTAACAAAACACCACAGCTGCCCATAAAGTGGCAGGCCTTTTTACACCACTAAGATATACTGTTAATCGTTCCATGCAGTTGAAAGCATCCGTTCAAGTACGACAGGCTCATCAATACTTACTTTTGCCTCTGAGGAACAGATGAACATTACTGAACAGCTAAAATTTACACTAATCCCAAGGCAGTGTCAATAAGCTTCCTGATTGTATTCCATAATTAGCTACATCAACTAACAAAGCTTCTACAATTAACAACTGGAACAAAGAACCATTATTGGAAAGACAGCAGTGACAATTGATAAAGCCTGCTCTAACTAAAGTCATCACAAAACCCTTATGCTATGTAGGCCAGTTCCCAAAAAAAAACAAACCACCAAGTTGAACTAAATTTGGCTTGTGCTTACTTGTAAAACACTACCATGGCAACAAGTAAATAGACTAAGGACTTTCCACAAAACCATAATTAGTCTCCTTTGAGTAAAAGCAAGCTTCTAAAGTCTAAAAGCTACAGAAGAATGTTCTTAACACTTCAGATTTGGCAATTATGGCAAAAACAAACCAGCTCATAATGACACTTCTGTTTAATTCAGTGCCTTCAGGAGCTACACCATAACTAAACAGTAGTGTCTCAGAGGCTGTTCTTTGTATGCTTGACCTGGTACTATTAGATTAGCAGAACTCTAACATCCTCTAAAGTAATTTCACATGCCAGATATGCACATTAAGACTTTCCAGTATTAACACTATACACTAGCCAGTCAAAATCATGAAGTTCTGGAACATCTATGGCAAAGCTGAATTCTGTATTACCAGCTTCAAGTCCCACCCATTACTGAAGTTAAGGTCAGTCTGCTGAGAGCAATCAGACAGGTAAGTTTGTGCAGCCTGCATGAGCAGGACACAATAACCACAAGTTTCTGCCATTAGTAAACGGCTGTCAGTGCACATAACCCATTTCTAGAGGGCCAATATCAAGTCATAACAGATGCATATTTATTTAAGCATTTCAGAGCAAGTGCCAGACCATCAGAACAGCACACACACAACACTTGTCCAAGTATACAACACAGTTCCAAATATGGAATATCCAGAGTTGTCATCATGAAGCCAGTCTCTGCTGTCATCAACAAGAGCCACTCAAACATCTTTGCTGACAGGAGACAGCAAAGTAAATTATTTTTGCCTTCTGTTAAAAAAGCACTGCAGATTCCAAGCCTTCACCAGCTCTGTTGTCATCCCCTGTGCCCCATCCCGCTTTCAGTCTGCACTTGGGCCAATTCTGTAGTCATGACAGGATAATCAACAGTCTCCTAGCCAGAAAAGCTGTGAGGATTGTTTAACTATATGAACTACACAACTATAATTCATTATATCAATGGTGCTTTTACAGTAGATAAGCCTTTAAAAAATAGGTGACAAATGAAAACATTCCACCATACTACTTCAGTATCTAAGAAAGCTAAATATCTTGTGTAACACAGACTGTCACTGGATTAAGAGATGTGCCAGGTCAAGTAGGAGTAGCAACACAACACAAAAACCTCACCTGCAATCTGCTCTTCTGTCAGTTGATCAGCCTGCAATAAAAGAAAATATGATTACAGTTGTAGCAAAAGTTCAAGGCAAAATAAGACACACTTGTAGAGGACTCTGAGTATGGTAGCAGCTCTTCAGAACTGATTTGTAGCATTCTAGAATAGTTCTAATAAAGCTCCAAAGCCATCAGGATTGTTTCCTAAGTAAGAACTGCAGCCTTTTATCCTCTCCAGACCCTGCAATATCCCATACACTCAAGTAATAGATTACCACATGTATAAACCAAAAATCCATGCAGTGCTAGCAAGCTCAAGGCACACAGGTCCCTTTAAAACCACAGACTGGTTTTAAAAACTCATTTACACAGCACACTGCTAGCTTCAGCTTCAACACTAAACACTTTAGGTCTCAGTAATGCAGCAGTAATCTGCAAATGCCAAATTTCAGGCAGACTAGCTAAAACAGAAAAACATGCTCTTCACTAGAATTAAATCATCCCCTGATTTACATGCAACTTCCCGTCCAAGACCTGGCTGTCAAAGACAAGACACCAGCTTCAGTCCAAATGGGTAATTTCAGTGGGGCACAGCCTGTCTACAGTTTTTTTCAGCCTGTTGTCTGCATTGACTCAGCATAAGGTAACACGGATAACTGAGGAAGGTTCTGTGGTCTAAGACAATTTCTGCACCAGCTGGGAAAGCTCCAGTGTACACCTCATTCTCCTCTCCCACCATTTTTGAATTCATTAGATTTGATAGCAATGAAAACCATCAATCTTTCAGGCCAAACCCAATATGAACTTCGCTCTTGAAAGAACACCAAGATGTTTGGGCGCTGTAGAAACACTCTCCTTGGGTTCTCAAATCTCCCTGGATTCTCAAATTTGATTCTTCGAATTCTGGATGGCTTGGGTTGAGTTGCAGTTACATGGTAACAGACCTCCTTCAGGGAAACTTCCTGAACCCTTTACTGAAGCGTAAAAACCACTAAAATACAGAAAAAGACATATTCATTGCTGAAATACACCACTGCTTTTTCAGCTTCTTTCCTGTTGTGACCATTTAAGCAGCAACCTTTTTGTCATTACTGCAATACTGACTGAAAGTCAGTATTATGCCCACCAAAGTCTCACTCCACATGAGCATCTGTCAGGGAAAGACTTAGAAAAATGTATTTACAATACCTGTCAATTTTTACTTTGCCAATTTCAATTACATTTTAATACTGCATGGGAACATTTAAGTTACCAGCTGGTTATTCTTCCTGTAACAGAAGTGAAGGTGGCTGCTTGAGCAGTTGTACAAATGATGAACTGCTTACAAAACCCTCTGGGCACACAATACAGCAACAGCCCGAGATAAAGGCCACAGACTGGCTGGGGTCACCCACTTTAAGAATCAAGACCACACTACTGAGGAACTTCTAAAGCAGCAGACAATGGGTATTGGCAGCTACAGATTCATTTATGCTGCAGGAAGTATTCCCATGCAGGTTCCACTTTTTATAAAAAAGACTAGCATGGCAGCAGTACTGCTGAGAACATAATTCAAAACTAAGCTTTGGGATGGAAGTGTTTTGTTGAAGACTACAGGTTTTCACCTGGCTGCAGAGTATCATTAACGAACATAATTCAAAACTAAGCATTGGGATGGAAGTGTTTTGTTGAAGCCTACCAGATTTTCACCTGGCTGCAGAGTATCATTAACACAGACTCATACCTTTGCATGCTATTTACATTTCTATTGTTTGAGTGACGAGAATGATGTGCTACATTTCCTTAAGATATTTACATCCACAGAAACCTGTAGATCAGATTTAAGCAGTAAGAACCTAGCTGATTTAGCTCAATACTTCTGGGTTACCAAGTTGAGTCACATACTGCTTTATATAAACAATTTTATATGGAGACATGACATAGCAGTATGTAAGTTGTTAAGCACTTCCAAACTCTTCCTTCTTCATAAGGAGAAACTCTTCCAGCAATTTAAGACATCCTAACCATGAATTTGGATGAGCTCTGACAACACCTGTAAGAGGTGCAGTGTTTGAGAAGAGCACAAAGCTTATTAGAAGGCACAGGTATGAAGCAGTTGAAAGATAAGCGGGGAGGTGGGGCAAGGTTGAACAAACACCATCTGTACTCTGCAGTGCTGGGCTCTGCAGGCACTGCTGCGCAACAGCAGTAAAAGGCGGAGCCAGCGAGCCTGCCAGCTCCCTGCCTCCCGTGCCACCCAGGTGGAGGGCTATCAGCCTGGAACCATGCCCGCCACTTACAGGCCACCGTGGCCTTCCTACAGGGGCCTCCCGGAGCTCCTGATAATGGCGCACGGCACACGTGACAGCGCGCACACCTTCACCCGCGCAGCGCAACTTGCGCGCGGTTAAACGCTGACCGCGAGGTGCCCACGCTGAAGGGCTGACATGCCCTCACCGCGGCCGAGCACACCCGAAACCCTCATTTGACGCCATCACAGCTTTGACGCGGCTTTCTGTGATTCACGTCGCAGCGCTTTCATTTTCACTGCAACAGCTCGCATCCCCCCGCCCCCAGACCGTGCGGAGGGCCTGACAAAGGAGCCAAAACTCCCAGGCAAGCAGGGGACTGCTGTGTGCGCGGCCGGTCCCGCGGCACACGCAGCCTCTAGAGGCAGGTTCCGTCACAGCCGCTACGGCTGCCATGCAGGAAGCAGGCTGGGAGCTCCTCCGGGGCTGGCCAACGCTGCCCAGCGCGGAGCTACCGGCAAACGGCAGCGCAGGTGACACTGCTGCCCTCCGAAATTTGGCTCCTCGGCGTACTTCGCAGGCACCACATCCGAAGGGACAATTCTGTTCTGGCAGGACTAACTAAAGAACAACAACGGGACTAGACAACATAGACTAAAATTACGTTTATGGTAGGTTAGCTTGTTTTGGGAGCAAATAATTCTGTCTTATCTAGTCCAGGCAACACTGGACAGTCACAGGTTGAGCCAGGCTGGTCTGTCAGGATGAACTATAACCACATTCAAAGTGTCACTGTGCCTCCTGGACACACCCATTTTTACACAGACCTTGCTTGAAGATACTCCATTTTTGGTTCTGCACAGATGATGACTAAATGCAGTAAGTCTTTTGTTACTACGTTCATTGCCTTTTTTTTCCCCCTGCTTTATGGATGGTTTGCTGTGTAAGTTCACAATTCAAGCTACAGAATAAATTCAGGCTTTTATTCACCGAATTTCTTCGCCCAGAGACAGCATTTCAAAAAATCCCAAATTTTAAGAAGCCATGGTTTATGTTAAACATGATGAGCTGACAGTAATTTGATTCCTCAGAAGAATATAATGAATGAAAAGACAATTCCACTCCACTGCATCTTCTCTTAATGCAGAGATGCATTAAGCACTAAGTGGTCAGTGGTGCTGCTTTTGCAACAGAGCTGCTCCTTTCAGCACATATCTCAGCATCCACTTGTTTTAATTTTAAAAAACCAACAAACGCTAAACTCACATCCTTTACACTGAATTTGAAACCATTCTCCGATTTCACAAAATGCGTTCTATTTCGACAGTGGATTACAATTCTAAACGCATCGCTAGTAATATTAAAAACGCACTACTGTCGTCCGCAATGACCAAAACAGGAAGCAGAAAGTGTTAGAAAAAAACCCCAAAAAACCACAAAAAAATCCCTTGTCCAACAGAGCCACCAACAGCATGGCGCTACCACGGAATAGACAGGGGCTCCAACGCGAACTGACAACAGGTCTAGCAAGGAGGGCGATGATGCAGCGAGGCACAGCCTGCCCCTCATCATCATGCTGCTCAGAAGCTGCTGGGCTCCGCAGTGCATTATTATGACCAGGCGCAGCACACCTCGCTAGCGAGCCGGACGGCTTAGGCTGCCTCATTCAGCCGCACAAGGCGAGAGCAGGGAGGGAGGAAGCGATAAGAAAGCAGAGCTGGTGCCATCGTGGCAAGCTCCTTTCCCCCCTCCTCCCAAGACCGCGGGTCCCCTCCCAGGAGGGACCGCTATCCGCCGCTCCCCCCGGCAACGCCCGGCGCCGCCTCACGGCGCTCCCGCCGACCCAGGGGCCGTTTGGATTTGAATTCACACCAACGCCCCAGGGCGGGAAAGGGACCCGGGCGGGACCCGCCGCCGTCGCCACCACCACTTCCTCCCACGCAAACGGTGCCTCCGAGCGGGACCCTCCGCCCCAGCCTGAGCCCGCCGGCCGCGGCGAGGGACAGCTTCGTCCCTCCCCACACCCTGCTGCAGGCGACCTCGCCCCACAGCAGCCAACCCCCCCTCCCCCCCGCCCCCCATCCGCACCGAATTCAGCCGCCCCCATCCCTCCGCTCCGCACCGCAGCGGCGCCCGCCGAACCCCGCGGCTGCCCCGTGCCCAGGGACTCACCATGGTGGCCCGGCCTGGCTGCGGGGTGCGGTGGGAGCTGAGGGCTGCACAGGGCGCACGCTGCGCGACCTTCCCGCTGCACGGCTCGCCTCACACTGAGTCCTACCCGCCCGCCGGCGGCGCCTCATAAACCGCCTCACCGCCCGGATCGCTCCGCGCCGCTCCCTCCCCCCTCCCCTTCCCCCGACAGTGAAGCGAGTTGCGAAACGAGTCCCGGCTCCCCGCGCTCTCCTCGGCAGGGCACCCCGCACCCCGAGTGCCGCTCCTTCTGCCCCAGAGCCCCGGCGCAGGAAGGAGCGAGGTGCGGGAAACCGGGGGAAGCAACGCTTGTGAAACGCGGGGGGAAGGGAGACAGGGAGAGAAGGGGGGGCGGGGACGGGGGCTAGGGACTATTTCTCTGGGCGGAAGAGGATTTTAGGAAAAAATGCCGAGGAGTGTGGGGACTCCGTAAGGAGGGCGCTGATTGGTGGGTTCGTACCTGCAATGCGTCACTCGGACATGCACACTCTGGGCTGGGAAGGCGGGCACCCCTCCCCCCGCCCGCAGTGCGTGAGGGCCGGAGCGGCCCCGCAGCCCCGCGGAGCCGCCGCCGCCGCCGCCGCGCCGCTCCGGGCTGGGCCCAGGGCGCCAGCTGTGTGCCCCGGAGCGCGTGTGCTACAGCGTTTCCAGCCATCATCTCCGTGCTGTGCTCCGGAAAGCCTCACCCACACAGAGTTACTAAATGAGACTCGCTCTGCATCCAGCACAGTCCAGAAAAATTGCCACCTCGCGCTGCAAGCTGGGGATGCTTCGTCGCTTGGTAGCGTTGTTGAAAAGAATAGATTTCACAGAATCAGTTAGATTGGGAACGATCTGGGAGATGATCGAGTCCAACCCGTGACCGATCAGCACCATGTAAGCAGCCCGTGGCAGCGAGTGCCACATCCAGGCTATCCAGGCTGTCCTTAAATACCTCCAGGAGCGGTGACTCCACCGTCACCTCCCTGGGCGGCCCATTCCAATGTCTTATCTCCCTTTCTCTGAAGAAACTCTTCCACTGTCCAGCCTAAGCCCCCCCCCCATTAGACATTTTCCCTTTTCCTCCCTCGTTTCCCCTGCTAGGAATCGCATATGCCCTGGTCCTGTACCTAAGGACAGGTGGCCAGCAATTCTGAGCTAAAATCTGGAGTAGTATAAGAGTTTTCTGTAAGGTGCATTTGGACAAATGGCTCCAGGTGCAATTTTCAAACTTGCACGTGTATTTTCAAAGATAATTAAACAGAGAGCTGCAATATTGGCTGAGTCCAGTGACAGCAGATCTACCTGTCCTCTGTGAAAACCACAACACTCATTTTTTGGGACCATAAATATATTTTTTAACTTTGGGGGCCTGAGTTAAAGTTTTCAGTCCTAAGTTTGAACACAAATCACAATACCAATCACATTTCAATGAAAAATTACCTACTTCCACATTTATTGAAATAATTATTTAGTTGATATTTACACATTATGTAAAAGTTTTTATACCTATCTGTGCACTGTCAGTACATAAACTAGAGTGATGGCTCTCACTTTGCACACTAAAGAGGTTTTACTCATCTCAGTTCTTCACTGTCTTTGGTTTATAGGCCACAGAAATAGGATGTGCTTGGGATGGGACTGGCATGAATGAACTCATAAAAATTCTCTGTCTTTCCCCCCTGAACATTAATTCAAATTCTCAGGTCTGCTTTCTTTTCAGGATCTTGTATCCACTGTATTCAGAAACAGAAGAAGGCCTAGTTTCTTAAAATAATCAAGGACCCCTTTATTAAGAACAGTGCCTCTCATCCTCAATTCGTGTCCATAGGCAACACATAAAACACCACCATAAAAGCTGGCCTTCAGCCTTGAAATCTATCTGCAGTTACTGTTTTGTGATGCACTGGCCTGTTAGGCCTCCTTTCCCTTTACCTGTATTTATAGTCCACAAACCAAGCACATCTGAACTATTGTCTCTTCAAACTCTGATAACATTTTTTCAATGTGTAATGTGTACCTAGATGAATAAAGTACTTCCCAGAGCAGGAAATGACTGCCAAGGTTATTGTTACCCATGCCTCCTCCAACCACTGCCATTGGAAGTAGGAGCAAATCCCTGCCTGTGGTCAGGCTATGCTGGATGCAGACAGCTGGGCTTCAGTCGAATTTTCCTCCTCCCTGATGCCCCCTTTGGTTCAGTTTTAAGGATTGCTCTGACATTCCCAACTTCTTTACACGTCTAGAGGCGTGAATCTGTGCAGAAAAGTTCTTGACCAAAAAAATTCATCACCTGCTCTAGATCTGGGATAAAAGTGGCATAGCAGCACTCAGGGTGCATTCCTGTCACGCCCTCCAATCTGGAGCGGAGCAGAGCAGAGTGCTGGTGCATTTGTGGAGCAAAACCATCTCCTGTGGAGACCTTACCTTGGGTCCTGGCAACAGAATGCCCACGGGTGCATGGTGCTGGGCCTGATGTGCCAAGACCTCTCCTTGGCATCTGTCTTTTATCCTCACATTACCTCAGAAAGGCAAAACATTGTGACACCTAGGTTGCTCAGGTGCCCAGGCTCAAGGAATCTGTTGAGTTGTCGTAAATCTGCATTTCTGTGAAACTGATCTTGAGGGATTTGATGAGCAATTTGTGGAAGGGCTGTATTGAGATAGCAAATTCTGACTGAGTCCTGTTCGTGGAGTTTGCCACTGGCCATCATGAGCATGGAGGCTCTAGGAAACATGAGGGCCACAGCATGAGTGAGTTGTAGGCCCATTAATTATGGCTTAAGGGTCTGGTGAGGAGCAGGGACTTGAATGCAAGGGTTCCAGAGAATCTGACCACCATACTGTATGTTTTTGTGTATGTCCCTTAAAGGATTTGGTATCTGTAATTTGTATTAAATTCTTCATAATCTTTTTAGTTATGTTTAGTTTTCTCTAAAGAAACAGTCATTCAGAGCATCCTCCCTCTGCTGTGTGTTTCTTAGGCCCCCTGGCTCCTTGATTTCTCTCTCTCTCTCTTCCATTTCTCTGTTCTTATGTGTCTCCTTTTTTCCATCTGCATTTTCCTACAGCAGCACCCATTTCCTGTGGGTTTCATCACCACCCCCACCCTGCTTCCATCTGTTGAAGAGATCAGCCACAAAGTTAACTTGCAATTACACTACCCGTGAAATTACACCAACACTTCCAGTGGCATTACTAAGCATTAAAGCGAACACCCTGGTGAAATTAATGCGAGAGGGAGGAGTTTGCCCCTTGCATAAACGGGTTGTTGGCAGCCTCGGGTAGGTAAACCAGCAGATCCTCAGGTACATTGGGGTAGCCAGAGAGGCAGAATTGCTTTTCAGCAGCCTAGCTGATGCTCTCTGGAGCCTACACGTGCCACAAGAGGCAGGGAAATACATCAAATGACCGGCCCCAGCTGCGGCTGTGACTCTGGCACCTCTGACAGAGCAATAATGGGAAGTGACAGTGATTTCTCGGTTGCAATGGTCAGGTGTAGTTCTATCAGCTCGGTATTTTTAACATGATAATTTCTCTCTTTGCTATGTAATTTAATAGATTTGTCAATGTTTGTGATCTGTGCTGTTTTTCTTCCCTGTCAACACAGAAATACAGTTTTACAGAAGTCCAGTTTAGGGATGAGGGCAGCAAATTAGAAAAGCAATTTGAGTTCCAAGGTTAGATGAGCTGTATATGCCAGCAATTTTCACAGTTACTCTTTGTGGTACATTTAATATTGTGTAAATGCAATTTGTTCTATCATTTTAATAATACTTTAGTGGGTTGTTTCAACTGATGTATACAGAATGCTGTGCCATGGTACAAAAATGCTATAGCTGCTTCCTCAAGATTATTGTAATAGTTTGAACAACCTAATTAGAAATTAACTGCAAATTTTATAAGTGAATTTCTGAGATAAGAAGAAAAAAGTTCTCTACTTATCATAAGTACTAAAACTTAGCATTTAACTGCTGCATACAGAAGGAAAATTGCTCATGGCTGTTTTCGCATAATGGGTCTGATTTTTTCCAACTTTTTCTGTAACATAGAGCCTGCCCCCCTGAGAAAGGCCTTTGTCCTCAATTCCAGCTTTATAGGCATAAAACTAAGGTGGAAATCAATATTTATCTACCCAGATGTATTTGGAATGCCCATTCAGCCCTCAGTAACAAAAAGCTTAGTTATCTACAAAATTTTAAGGTGCTAAATGAGACATTTTGGCTTCTGGTATTCTGAGAGCATCTGTTGATGAAACAGCCCAGGATGCTGAGAGCTGGGAGGCTGCCCTCACCTCACCTGGATGGCAGCAGTGGATAGAAGAATACAGAAGCTTATGGACTGTGTTGGATGGAGGACACCTCCTCTAATACAAACATGGTTGTGGGAATAACTGCACTTCCTCCTTACATGTTGAAAGCCTTGTCCTGTCCTTTGTGCCTGGTCCCTGGAGCACTCACACCTGGACTGCACAGTGCCCAAAATCATGGGGATAGCAATCCTTCCCCTAGGGAGTATGGACAGGTGATTCCTCCACACTTCACTTTCTGTGGAAAGTGCATAGACAAGAGCAGTACCTGGCAGAAGGGACTGCATTACACACTTTCAGAATATACCTGTGGCTGTGCCAGTGCTGAAGGTGACCCAGGCATATCCCAATCTGCTTTTAGGTAGTTCAGACAGGAATACCTAGCAATGTGGTGCCTTCCATAGTGCATCAGACCCACTCGAGAAGCCAGGCAGGTTTGCAGCCAGCGGATACAGAGCTCTGTTGTTGGGATTACACTGCTCCCCTCCTCGAGGCTAGATGTTGTAAAGCTGATTCAGGTGACCTAAAACTGACTCTTTAACTATATTGTGACCACTCACTAACACAAAACAAGACATGAGAGTCCAAAAAGGCAGGTAGGTGCACTCACATAAAACTGGGAGGCCAGAGGAAGGCACAATATCTAATAATAGGCTCTAGACTAGTATTAAGAGTAAAAAAAAAAAAGCCAATGGGACTCATAATATTTTTCTTTTTTTTTTTTTAATTTTAAAAAGATAAACAGCTGCTTCCATTTTATGAGGATTTCTGATGGAACACTGTCCATAAACCTGCAGTATTTTCTGTGCTCCTATGAGAAAAACCTAGCTCTAGGTCTTCATCTCACCAG